TCCCCTCCAGTCCGAATACTGGGCCAGTCTATCTGATTGGCCCATAGGTGACTCTTCAGCGCAGTGTATGCCACGACTCACTCGATCACAGACCAAGACCATGGACCGGAAGAGGGGAGAATCCCTCCTGGCCTATGAGGAACGCCTGGCTGCTTTCATCCAGGAGGCCAACAACAGGGCTGCCGCCGCGGCCAAGGAATGTAGTTGGATTGAGCAAGAAGAAGAGGCCAAGCGACAGAAGGAAGAACAGGACCGACTTCGTCAAGAGGAGGCAGACCTGCACGCAACAGCCGACACCGGTCACGCCAGCGGGAACGACTGTTCACGCGGGAGACTGTGATCGGCGATGAGGCCGCACATTGGGTGCACGTGGCATCTGCAGACGAGGCCCCGGAGACTAAGAAAGGGCTGTCAGCCCTTGCGCAGGTCTCCCATGACCTTGTGGCCACCTGCGTTCTGCAGCAGGAGGAAATCCTTCACCTGCAGCAGAGAGTGGACCAGATGCTCGCACGGCTGCAGGCGTTGGAAAAACAGCCAGCTGCTGTAGCAGCCGCAGGGCCTTCAAACCTTGCCACCCGTGTTCAAGTTTTGGAGGACGACGTCAACAATATCAAGCGTGTGCACCAGGACTTCAGGACGTCGCAGAAAGCAACGAACTTGCAGTTGGAGACTCAGGTCCAGGCTGCTGCCACCGTGACGCCCGCCGCCGTATCCTCCAGGCGCCCACCCAAGCTAGATGACATTCCAGTCTTCTGCGATCATTCCAAAGCGGAACCGATCCCGTGGTGGCGCCAGTTTACTCTCAGGCTCGACATGCACCATGTCCCGAACAACGATCGACATCAGTGCTTGTACCACCGATCTGGTGGTGCGTGTCAAGCATGGTTGGACAACATCTTGACCAGCCACGGCGTAGCAGTGCCGGAACTGTACACCAAGCTCACTTGGCAGGAGTTGACTGACGCCTGGCACAAGCGATTCCAAGTGGAGCCGCCCGACCTGCAAGCGATGGACAAGCTCAACAAGCTCTATCAGAACACGCTGCTCAGTCAGGACTGGATTACCGAGTTCCAAAGACTCGCCTCCACACCTAACCTGCCGCTCGCCTTCCGCGCCATCAAGCACTTGTTTATCATGCGCTCGTGTCCAGCTCTGCAAAACGCGCTGACGCAGATTGCGGAGACACTCGACACATCTGACAAGTTTTTCAGCACAGCGTCACGGATCATTCTCACGAATATCGAAGCCCGCAACGCCGGCCGATCTTCCGCGACGACGAGCGGCACCCAGCCCAAGCCAAAGGTGGCTTGCATTACTTCTACCGAGGCTGCAACACCAAACGAGGGTGAAGTGTTGGCAGCTGCCCGGGATGGTGGCCGGCCGCGAAACAACCACGGCCGCGACAAGACGAAGACTCAGTCTACCTCTACACCGAGCACCGGATCAGCAGCCGACGAACCTTGGGCGCAATACGGACTCTCGGCGAATTCCTATCGCACGCGACTCAATGCCTTTGGTGCAACAGCACCATCCACGATGCTGCACATTGCCCCACCAAGAGGAAACCCAGTCCAGGAAAGTAGGCGTCGTCGAGGGTGACTCAACATCTCCCTCGACGCCATCGGAAGCGGTTGTGGCCACAACCGCCCTTTCTTCCGAGGCATATGCGGATGTCGGGAGTCTTCCACTTTCGTTCGAAGACTTCGCTGCCCGGCTCGTTCCTTCACTGGATGCTTCTCAAGGACAAGATACATGTGCGGCTTTTTGATCGTCCGAAGGTTCTTCTGCCAGTTCGTCTTCATCAAGGCATTCGGCAAGCGTGTTCAACGAGGAGAGGATTTCGCTTGGGTTCCTCTCCCTACGACGGGCAACCTTCCGGGGCTGCAAAGCGCAGCCCTATGCGCCCTCTTACACGAGTATCTTTCCTTCCATGCACCACCAACTTCGCCGACGGTAGACGAAGTCGCGGTGGGGGACATGCTTGGCTATGTTGCCAAGGTGCCCCGCGAGTTTGTCTCGCAACGGTACGAAGAAAACAACGCACCGTTGCTCTACGTTCGCATTCAGATTGGGCAAGCGGCGTGCAACGCTTTGCTAGATTGCGGCGCAACTCGCAACTTCATCAGCCAGTCCTTCATGACTCGGGCTGGCCTTGGCGCACAAGTACTGAGGAAGTCACATCCGACGACGGTCGCTCTTGCCGACGGTAAGACGAAACAACCTTTAGACCGTTACATCTCGGCTGTCCCGGTGTACTTTGCACCGCACGCATGTGAACCCGTCACTTTTGACATGTTGGACACCGACTTCGATATCATTTTGGGGATGCCATGGCTTTCTAGCACGGACCAGACGGTCAATTTCCATCGACGCACGCTCACGATTCGTGATGCAACTGGCGTCGAGGTCCCGTGTACTATTCCTCCTCCTCGCTCTTCCATTCGGTGTCAAGTCGTGAGTGTCAAATCTTTTCGAGACACATGCCGTTCCGAGCATGTCGAAGAGATTGGCATCGCTTTTCTTCGAACCGTCCCGACGACGATTCATCATCCACGGATGTGTCTTCCGACCCCCGTGTGACCCGGTTGTTAGACGAGTTCTCGAATGTTTTTGAGACACCCTCCGGTATAGTGTCGGACCGGCCAATCTCTCACGAGATCATACTTGAGGCCGGTGTTGTGCCACCGAAGGGATGCATTTATCGCATGTCCGAGGAGGAGCTCACGGTTCTCCGTGCGCAACTCGACGATCTACTTGACAAGGGTTGGATCCGCCCTAGCAGCTCACCTTACGGTGCGCCCGTTCTCTTCGTTCGGAAAAAGAACAAGGACCTTCGACTTTGCATTGACTACCGATGCCTCAACGCACAAACCATCAAGAACGCGGGGCCTCTACCTCGCATTGACGATTTGCTTGAGCGATTGGGCGGCGCCAAGTACTTTTCCAAGTTGGACCTCAAGTCAGGCTACCATCAGATTTCCATCCGCCCGCAAGATCGGTACAAAACCGCGTTTAAGACACGATATGGGCATTTTGAGTGGGTAGTTATGCCTTTTGGCCTCACCAATGCCCCGGCCACCTTTCACGCGGCCATGACCACCGAGTTTCGTGCTACGTTGGACCGCTTCGTCTTGGTCTACTTAGACGACATCCTCGTCTATAGCCGAACTCTAGAGGAGCATCTCGAGCACCTTCGCTGTGTTCTAGAGACTCTTCGGTCAGCTCGGTACAAAACTAACCACGACAAATGCGAGTTTGTCCGGCAAGAGCTTGAATACTTGGGTCATTTTGTCTCTCCGGAAGGCATTCGTCCGTTGGCGGACAAGATTCAAGCCATCCAGGAGTGGCCCGAGCGGAAGAATGTGACGGACGTCCGATCCTTCMTYGGCTTGGCCGGTTATTATCAGCGCTTCATCAAGGGTTACTCGAAGATCGCGGCCAACCTAAGCAAGTTACAAAGCGAGGAGCGGCCTTTTGACTTCAACGACGACGCGCGCCATTCTTTTGAAACACTCAAAGCGGCACTCTTGTCCGCGGAGGTGTTACATATTTACGACCTGCTTCTAGCTACGCGCGTCACTACCGATGCATCGGGCTATGGCATTGGGGCCGTCCTTGAGCAGCACGATGGCACGGACTGACACCCGGTCGAGTACTTTAGCAAGAAAGTACCTCCCGTGCATTCGATCGACGACGCACGGAAGAAGGAGCTTATTGCCTTCGTCCACGCCTTCAAGCGTTGGCGACATTTCCTCCTTGGTCGGAAAGCATTCCGATGGGTAACGGATAACAATCCGTTGGTATTCTACAAGTCGCAAGACACGATTAACAGTACCATTGCCCGTTGGATGGCTTTCATCGACCAGTTTGACTTTTTTCCCCGATCACATTCCCGGGAAGTCAAACCGTTTTGCGGACGCCCTCTCACGGCGACCAGATCTTTGCACCGCAGTCTACTCTACCTTCGAGATCGACGACAACTTGAGGGAGAGCTTCATCCGCGACTATCAAGCCGACCCCCACTTTCGCGACAAGTACGCAAATTGCTCCTCTCCGAATCCGGTGCCTTCGCATTATCGGAGCCAAGAGGGCTACTTACTTGTGCATTCACGGGGTAAGGATCTTCTTTGTGTGCCGAATGATTCACACTTGCGCACACGGCTTCTTGGCGAGTTTCACGATGTGCCCGCCTCCGGACATTTTGGTGTCAACCATACACTTGGCCGACTTCGCCAGCGGTTCTATTGGCCCGACCTTCTCAAGGACGCCACTCCCTATTGTGAGTCGTGCGAAGTCTGTCGGCGTTGCAAGTCACGCAACCATCGTCCGTTCGGCGAGCTACACCCACTACCAGTGCCCCTTGGGCGACGGGAAGCAATTGCTATGGATATCACCGGCCCCTTCCCAAAGCACAAGACCGGCGTTGATGGGATCCTCACAATCGTCGACCGCCTCACCAAGTACGCCATGTTTTTGCCTTGCCGCTATCACGCAAAGGCACCGGAGTTAGCCGAGGTCTTATACACCGGTTGGATTCGCTCCAAGGGCTACCCCAAGGAGATCGTTTGCGACCAGGACACTCGCTTTCTCTCCGACTTTTGGGTCGCCCTCGTCAAGCGATGGGGCTCATCTTTGAAGCCGA